ATTCAGTGTAAAGATACAATGGTGCAAAAAATAGGCTAAATTAAGCCTGCTCTGACCCACCTTATTCCCTAGTATCAAACTGTACAGTTGCAACTGCTGTTAATGCATTTATGCCACCTCTGAGTAGCATTTAATTAGTCTAAGATGCACTTTAGAAGCACTTCTGTGTCACCTTTGAAGTGTAAACTTGTTTTATTGAAACGGATATAAAAACGTATTCTTGGAAACATCATTAAGACTAGGTTAAAAATTACATAATTCATTCTTTTTTTGTTGTTGTTGAAAAAACAAATCAAGATTCTATGAAAAATATAAATATATTTTATGGCATATAGAAAATATAGCTGAAATAAAAATGTGTGTGGGCAGTATAGCAAAAAAAACAAAAAAAACAATCTACTGGTCTGAATGGGACATGGTGGCTTGCATCATTAAAATTGACCATAGACATAATTTTCAGAGAAAGCTGACTATTTAAGGCAACATGAGTTTAAAAAGACTGCTGGTGATGCAACAAAGTGGCATCAACTTTTTACAAAAAAAAACAAAAAAACCCAGCAGCGCTCATGTGATTCACATCATGATATAACTGGTTACAGCAAGAACGCCTACTACATCAGCAAAGTGACTTGAGGATCTTGGCAATTTAACCACTGCTAATGTGAATGGCCTTAATCTTTACTGCAACAGCTGGCTTCGAGTCTTGCCTGGATGGTCTGTAAGGAGATCTACATCATTTGCACCAATGCACATTTCAAATCATATCATACTAACTTGGAATATTAAGAGCACACCAATATTGTACATGAGCAAATGATAAACTACTAACAATGAGCGAAGACAGTATCATATGCACCAAAGGAAATCTGATCACAGACCACCTCACCAATAATAACAAAGGTACAAGCATCTGTCAGGTCTTGCCAACAAACAGCATCACAGAAATGCATATGATACCCAAAATGCTGTCCAGGTAGGAAGCTCACTATGTTTTGAGACAGTCCTATTGTCTCAATCACCACATTAATAGCCTGTGTACAAAAGGGGTACACCCGTCCCAAAGCAAGCATGTACGGTTAAGAAAATGTAATAACACAGAACGATATGTAACGAATGACGCTCGATCGCCGCGTATTTGTTATCGTGGTGCATAAAACCCGGTGACAAAATTGTAACGTTAGGTAACACTAATATTTATGTCCAACACAGAACCCAACAGATTATAAAACCGGCGGATTTTCAAGACACCTGGAAGAAAACACGAGCACACAGCTATGCAAAATGGCTAACGAATATTTGCAAGCTGGCTAACAGGCTAACTGTAGCCTTGCAACACACACACACACATCCTGCTACATTTTGTTCAGATATGCATATTACCTTTTTCATAAGCGGGTTCCACGTATGTTTATTCTCGGAAATATAAATTTAATCAAAAAACAGCTTATGGAGTTTCTGAAGGCCGTAAATCCTCCCACCGATCCGCGGTCTCTGATAGGCCGCACCCCCTGGTCAGTGCCTACAAAAACACACGAAAACCCTGCTAACTCTCCGGATCTCTCTTGGGTTGCTCCGCAAAAACCCGATAACAGTCTTTTCGGAGTTTACAGCGCATTTAGGGGAGTCGACAAGCGAGGACGGCCCAACACATAGTGTATTTTATTTGGGGCTGGGATCAGTGACCACCGAAACCCCCGACAGCCGCACGGGAACCTGAATAACACATAATTGGCATCCTCACAAAACATACCGGAACTTCATTAATTTTAATCGAGAACGGCATTTATATGCACATATTAAAAACTACAAACGTCATTATTACGCATTATATGTGTCTGTCGCTGTTTCAGGGTATAGGGGAAAATTGTTTTATTATAACGCTTTTGGAGGAATTATTGTAGCACACGACAGGATAATAGTTCATATGAAGCTTCAATAAAAAAATAAACGTCAGCATTTTGTTCGTGTGAACATTGTATGTTAATGTTTACACTAGGATGCAAGGTTACGTTTATGTATATAGGCTTAATGTCATGTTGACCCGCTGTAATGTTTTATAAGGCAGAATGCAAAATAGCCGGAAGGTGACCCCGGAACCATTTGAATTCATCGTTGCTGTAGTGGGACGCTGTGATGTTGTGATGGAAGGTCCGAATCATTTATTGAATCGGTTCTTTCGAATGGTTCGTTTAAAAGAACCGCTTCAAAACGTACCTACGCGCTCATCCATGCTTAGAATAAAAAAATGTAATCCCAAATAAAACAGATGTCTCGGCTGACAAAAATATTAATAAAACATTTTTTATAAACCCAACAATGTGTCGTTCGTGTGATGATATAAAACTGCCATATATAATCAAGTAGCTCAGAACCGCTCGGACCGCTTCGTTCAGATTTGTGAATGAATCATTCTGACCGGTGCTGTGAACCGGTTCAACTGATTCATTGTAAATGATCCGACTTATAAGAATGATTCGTTAACGAATTCTTTGGTTTGTTGTAGCGGGGCGCTGTGAAGAAACAGCAATATTTTTTCAACGGAAGCACTTTGCACGTCACAATAAGAATGCCATCACGTATCTGAGATGGTGTTTTGTAGGTTAATCAGGAGATTGTAGATAGAGTGGCAATGGTCCATTTGAGAGATAAGTGGCGGTAATGCACTTATAAGTCTGCGACCCGCCGTAACGCAACAAGAGGAAGAAGAGATGGTGTTTTTCTAGAAAAAGTTGTTTAATACTCTGGTGTAGCTTTTAAAAAAGATTTTCCTTTTAGCATGATTGTCAATTACAGTAGCAGTAGCACTTCTGAAGAAGAAACTGAAAGCTCTTCAAAAGATGATTCCTCACCTTTAAGGAAAAGAGGAAAACTTGACACTCAAACCAGGTTTGGTGCGTTTGATCTTCTGTTTCTTGATTTGGGTTTATTTTGATTTGCATTTCCAGAGCTCTAAGTTCCTCTTTTACCTCAATAGCACCAGTGAACCTTTGGATCATGGATCTGTTAAAAGGAAAGCTGGCAAATCAGCCCACTTGACACCTCGCCTGCCTCTTCCTGACAGCGTGAAGGAGATGTTCAGAGAACCTGAAGAACAGTGGATCGATAAAAGTGAAGAGCATGGAGGGCGACAGCGGTCCTTCCAGCATGAGCGGGGCAACTGGGCTACATACGTGTTCTGTCCTTGTAAGCATTTTCCTCAGGGTATTATTGAGGTAGACACTGTAATTTTTCTCTGAATGACCTTCAACCCTTTTTTAGATGTTCCTGAGGAGGCCTTTCTGGAGCTACTCAATGAAATGATGGTGGTTGCAGCTGCTCACGGCATCCCTCTGACCTTGTCTGAAGAGTTTCACGTCAGTATCTCAAAGACAGTGGTTCTGCGCCATCACTGGATCCAACCATTTATCCAGTCCATTCACACCGGTCTGACACAGTTCCAGAAGTCAGTGCTATCTAATCAAAACCTCATTAGGGGTTTTCACTCTGTGTTTACTCTGGGTTATCATCATTCTAAACACTGTTTATAACCCCAGGAAGAGGACATTATCACACAAGTAACTTAGAAGCATTGGTTTTTACCTGGGATTATGTGAAATGTGAAGCAAGATAACCAGGATTGCGGGGTTTAGAATGACTCATGGTTAACTATTTTAAGTGTGAAAAGCCCTACTGTTTCATTATGCCATATGTTAGTTGCTGGGTATCTAAGTCAGATTGTTTTCTCAGGTTTTTTTGCTTGGCCGATAAACTGAGGGTTTATTGTAATGCTGAAAAGACTAGGTATGTCATTACTCTAACTGTTAATGACCCAACTAGGATGTGTATTATTTAGTTCTTCATATCAAATAATAGACTGTTTTAATGGCATAAAGTTGTTCATGCAGGACCTTTCTTGGTATGGAAATCTCCACTGGAAAAACTCAGTTGCTTGAGCTTATCAAAATACTGGATGAAACCATGAAAGAATTCAACCTTAGCACCTTTTATAAGGTAAAACCTGAAAATGATATCATATTTGTGATTCAAATACAATCAAATTTAGATTTCTTGTAACCCTCTTCTTTGTCTATTTTAGGATCCTTCTTTCCACATAAGCCTTGCTTGGTGTGTGGGCGACCATACGGAAAGATTGAAAAAAACATGTTTATCACAAATGCAGGTAGGAACCCAGACACAGATCTCCACCACAAATTTAACAAGGATGAGTATTGATTGAAGGCAAAGGTTGTGGAGTTGTGCTGTTGACATCTGAACTATAATAACCTGTTTTTTTTTGTAGAGTCTCATTGATGGTCATGAAGATGGGCCATTTTACATACAGCTCAACTGCACGGAGCTTCGCTGCAAATCGGGAAATAAAGTCTTTCTTTTCCCCCTCCAGTGATCTTGAAATACTGTTGAGAATGTGAATTTTCAAGTTTGCTAACATGTATTGCTGTTAACATTTGTGTTTTAAGACTTTTCATATTTAAGCAGAATATAATAAAGCTTTTGTACTAAAAACTAACTGATGCATAAAGATCTCTTTGTTACATTATACACTTTTGGTAAAGAGCATTTTATTGTACACAATTGCAACATACCTAGGGCACGTATGCAACAATCTGTTGTTTAGCGACAAACAGCCAGACCCTGGGTTTGCGTTCCACTGAAAAATGCATTGCATTTTTACCATCAAGCCATTTTACGAGCAACACGCCACATCCTGAAACTGAAAGACCTGGTTTCACTTTCCACAGTTGTACCTTCAAAAATACAGTCTTTGTTTTTATAACAGAACTTAATCTTATAACTCCAATTTTAAAGGCAACAAATAACTTGCTTCACAAATCATTATATTCAAGAGGTCAGTACATGTATAAAAAGAAAAAAAACTGAGGAGAGTTCGTACACGTGTAACAACATTAACACGTGGGTCGTGGCACAGTTGCAGTCAGAGGTTAAGCCGACAAATTGAGCAACAATGAGATATTCAGCAGTCGTATTGCACTACATTTGAGATCTCTTAATAAACCATAAATCAATACTGGTCACAGACAGCCTGATAAATAGCCTCTAGCTTGTTCGACAGAAATACTGCAGCGTCAGTACAATTTGGATAGAAAATGCATAAAAAATAAGCACTAGGTAAAAATCAGTAGATTTTAAGAAGTAGGAGGTAAGAGATTAAAAACGGACAATATTTAAAAATGTTTAATGGCAGGCAATTGTTTTTCACATGAATCAACTGTAATTTGTGCATTAAAACCTCTATAATATTAAATTGTTAGATTTGAATTAATCAGTAAAAAAAAATAAAAAATACAATTTCTATAAATGTTGATTGTGCCCAACAATAGATGACTATTTCACGCTGATCTCCTGATAAACCTGAATTAAACGAATTTAGATAATGTACATCCTCTAGAAGTGACCCATCTCACCCAAAAAGCAGAACCGAGTCTTGTACCTTTGGCAAACCACAATCTTCAGTTCAAAGTTAAACAAGGGAAGTGTGATGCCATCACGGTGAAAACAGCACCTTTTTGATGTACTTAACCGTAGTTATGTTCAACAGCATGGCAACGTGCTCATTCCCAGGCAGCTCGAACATGTTAACAGGCTGCTTCTGTTGGCCCATCCAGCGTTTGCATTGTGTCGCACTCAACAGGTTGACCGTTCCGTCTCCATCCCCGTTGATGACGGTGGGATCTACGTCTGGGAAGTTTGTGTAATTGTATCCCTGAGGTGTGGGGATTCCGCTGCCATAAAGGCAGTGGACAGGAACGCCCGGAGGCTGAAGTGCACTGACCAGCGGTTCTGTGTCCTGCCTCATAGCCCAGCCGTCCTCGTAGTTGATATCTTTGAAGAAGCGCTGATAGTCTTGGACAGTGTAGCTGGTGTTGGGGGTGGAAACCAGGACCATGTCTTTGGGCCAGGTGTGGGCGTAGGGGAAAAGCCAGACGGTGGAGACGGCCGTTCGCTGCTGGGTGCGAATTTTTAGAGGACTGATGACAGGAATGCGGTTGTTGTCACCTGTGATGGAACCAAAACCATCAAAAGGTCAAAGCAGTGATCAAAAATGGGTTTGAAAACACAAGTGCCAAGTTTTTAGGGGTTGTTCACACAGGACTCGTTTCTGCATTTCACTGCATGTTTTTTTTTTTTAGTGTTTTGCCATGTAAATATGTGCTAGACAGACATGTTTGGCTGCAAAAACACGTGTTGTATTTATGCATTTATGGTTTATTTCATATGCTTTTGAAAAACGTTTATACCATTTTCAAGGTTTTTTATGATTCTAAAAATAAAACAATTTTTAATATATATTGTAAAAAAAAAATTATATTTTAAATAAAACAGAAGTATGTTTAACAAGAAAATGCTATTTCAGATTTTCTACTTCAAATGTGTAACTTGCCATTTCTTTGTAACTGTTTGTAAAATTTTCCAGCAATTCTTTATTTCACTGTATATTTGTCAAAATGAAATGTTTTTACAAATATCATTAACTATACATCTGTATGAAGTTAAGCACTATATAAATAAACATGACTTGATTAAATTATTACATTTTTGCAAACCACATGACAAAAAAGCTTTAAAAAAATATTAATATAAATATAATAGGCAGGTTTGTTAACAATAATATTATTTAATAAAATCCTTTTTTAAATTCTAGAATATTAAATAATCATGGTTCCTCAGAAATAATAATACAAGACTATGCCAAAGTACTTGAGGTTTTCTTTTCAAAAATGTTGATTTTTTTCTTCATTATGATACAAGGACAGTTGTATCAATGTGACAGTTCTGACTTTATGCTAACAAAAAATATCAGTTATGTTATTTATAAATTAAACTAAGTTAATTATAACTCAGAAATTAAAGGTGTATTCAAGCCACTGTATATGTGAATGCATTTTTAATGAATTTTGTATAATTTAGCACAACAAAAATGAGAGCCACATCACTGACCTACAAATTCATTTCCACAAAATCTCCTTCCACAACAAATTTGGCCCATACCTGTTGCCATAACTCTCAGAGTTTTGGCCACTCCGGCCCATGGAGGACCTAAAGACACATATGCCTTGATGTACCGGTCCTTCCAAGCCTGTGGCTGGTGATTAAGAAAATAGAGTGTGTACATATTCCCCATACTGTGTGCGATGAGAACCACAGGACCACCAGCTTTATTAGCCATCTCCTCAATCATCTGCTGCAGACGCAAGAAGTACTCCTTATTCTCATCTACAGATACAGATCAGGAGAAAAACGTAAGAAGTTAGACATAAAGACAAGAATCAACATGGTCCCGAGAACTTAAGTTTTTTTGTGCAAAACAGATCATGAAGATACTGACTTGGGGCTTTACGCCAGTCATAGGGGGCACCTCGGACATCATCGTCTCTGGTATAACCCCAGTCAACCAATGCCTGTACTATAGTGAAGAAGTACATGCCTGAAACAGAAAAAGCTCTCGTCAAACAACTGTTACCAATCAACATACTAACATAATGAAATAAACACCTAGTTTGCACTCACCCACACTCCGTTTGCTAGGATCCAGATATTCCAAACTATATGTCTGTCCAAAACCAGGCACTCGGACATCCACCCCCGGAGGAGCTTCAGTGAGGTGGGTTGAGTGATTGTACAGTAGCCTGCAAACAAAATATATTCTGATTACATATTTGCATATTCAAAGCAAGGTATAAAAAGCAATATGGAGAAAGAGTTCAAAGAATGCACAGCATGTCTTTATCTTTACATTCCATAGAGTGCATTATTGCCAGCCAACTTTTTCCCAATGGCGTTGGTTCCAGAAGCATTTTTTCTATTCATTTTTCCCATAGAGATTTCTAAAAAGTATTTATTAAAGTATTAGAACAAGCCATTAACCAAGCCAACTAGTTACTAGTGTAGGTGAATCACAACATTACAAACTTTAATTTGAAACAAAAAAACGTATTTGAAAATTGAACGAAAAGACAAAGGAATAAGAGTGTGTACTCACTGAGAGAAAAACTACAATCCCATGAAACATTGTGAATGACAATTAAATTTAAAATGATGGAGAAATATAAAATGAACCATTAAAAGTTGTTAATTATATCTATAGAAACAATATATTTAAAGTTATTGCACACACTTTTGGCAGGATTTGTTCGCTGCAACCATAATTGGATTCAATTTTCTGTTTAGCATAATGGGTAGCGTAGTTTTTTGCTACAAATTCAGCAGTTAAACACAATTATTTTAAAAATAGGTTAACATAATGTGAATGGGTGCTTCAACAATACCACTGATTTAACAACCAAAAAGAAGGATGCTTGTTTTTGAAAAATGGTATGGATATCAATTGCCACATCATGTGAACAACTTCCGATTCCTGATGCCCTTTTGCCCTTTTGCCCTTTACCTCATGTTATCAATCCAGCAGTCAATGGCCACCGGCACCAGCAGCTCCAGGTTGAGCCATAATGTGAAGTAGTCCTCTGTCTTCTTGTAGCAGATGTAGTGCACTACACTAGGTTTATCAAGTTTTGCTTCAAGCTGATTCCCAAGATCTCCTGGAACTACAGAGAGAGAGAAGTAATTAGGCCAGCTAACCAATCACATAATCACTATGAATAAAAATACAAGAGAGCTTAATCAAATATTAATGAGTTTACACAGTCAAAAAACGACTATAGGTATGATCAAAGAACCATTGATTAAAAAGACTTAACACCATCACTATCCAAAAGAGATTACCAATTTATCCCCTACTGTTTAAATATCTCTATCATCACTAATCCTGGCCAGTTTGGTCTGGTTTGAAGCATTTGACCCCCCACTATACTTCCAAGTATGGCTTCCTGCAATGTTTGCATGTCTTTATCATCAGTCACCACATCCAGAATTAATTTTTCACATATTTAACATGACTAAGAAGAATTTTTGCTCCTGCTATCAGGTGTCATGTAAATATTGGCTAGTCAAATATTGTACTTAAGATATTGTTATAGAAATTTTTTGTAGAAATAATGTACTTAAGCCATCTTTTATTGCGGTATAATGATGTAGTGTAAATTTTGACACAAAGACAAATCTTTTTACACAAAAAGTATCTGATGGAAAATCCAGTCTAGTTTTGTTTTGTAACATGGTGAGGTGATTTCCAGCTAGTAGACTAGCAAACATATTCACAAAAAGATTTTAAGGTGGTCTTGGTTACCTAAAAGTGGTATGACCAGCTGTTCTACCAGCTTTGATCCGCTAATGACCAAGTAGAAACCAGGAACCAGTGGGCCATACAAGTTCAAGGAGGTCAAAATGGTTTATGGAACACATTACCAGATAAAAACCATCTTAGATCAGCTAAAACTTGCTATCATGTTCCAAAACACAGATACTACACCGAACAAAATGATACTAATTTTTTTAAGGTAAGTGGTTGCAAACAAAAATTAACTGATTGCAACCACTTACCTTAAAAAATGTAGTAAATTCAATGAATCATATTTTATAATTTGCAGGAAAGCATCTCTTTCAGTGGCTCACACCTCTGCTGGCTTACAGGATCAAGGGTGCATTTGTGTTTATCTGTCCATCGTGAGGTCTGAGAGTGATCTGAGAAGCGTCTCTTCTGGGTCTGCGGAACAGTGACAGCGGGATGGGCACAGACAATGTGACGATCATGTAATAGGTGTTTTTAAAGCAGCTAGACGCGAATAAACAATGGCACAACGCATCGAGCCAGTGGGCGGAGCTTTGAGAGACAGTTCGATTATGGCAAAAAATGCTGCAAGAATTGATGTAACAGAGCATGTATTATCTGTTTATAGTCATGCATACCTCAGATGTAAATTTCGAAATAATTTAAGATGCTAATTAAGGACTACAACTACTACAAGGACTGACTCTGTCATTTGTTTCAGAATTACAGGTGAAAACCTACTCAAATAGTAGCTAATTGTCACAGATCTTATAATTTATTAAGCAGAAAACCCATAGCAAATTAGCCTGAATGACACTATTTAGTTTTATTTTGACAGATCATTGGAATAATAAAAAATGTGTTAAATGCTTGTATTAAATAATTGAAATCTATTTCTCAATTAATTTTAATAAAATGTATATTTTTTTTATATTGTCAGTTTTCATTTTACTTTTATTTTAGGTTGTTATGTGCTTTTTACACTTTTATTCATTATTTTATATTTATGGGTTAGGGTTAGATACTTTAAGTTTTAGTATTAGTAATTTTAACACTTCAACTAAACATTTCCAATAGTTACGTAAAATGATATAAACATTTTATTTACTTAATAATAAAATAGGCATTGACAAGCATTTCTCGCTGTCATTTAAATAACTAAAAATAAATTAACTACAACAAATGAATAAAAACTTGATACACATTTAAAAATCAAAAACGAAATAAAATAGCAAAACACAACAAAATTACTAAAACTTTAAATAAAAGTTAAAAATGAAAATAGAAAAATAGAATTGAATATTATAATAGTATACCGATGATACTAAAATAACACTGCTACTAACGGAAGTAGGACACTTTATATATAAAATTTTAATGAGAATGTGTGTTCTTATTGTTTTATTGTGTAGCAAGCATAAAAGCAATAAAAACCTATAATCCAAAAGCAGTCAAATTTGTGTTATATTGTGAATGTAGTCACGGGTTAAGGGGATGACCATTGAATTATTGTCATATTGCACATGCAGGTTGCTTGTTTCACTCTCTGTGAGGATGATGTTCAAAGATCAGAGGTTTAAGGTGGAAAAAAATACCAAACCGAGTTACTGATTAAAAGAATTTCCACCAAAACATCTATATTTCAAGAGAAACAATCAATTATTTTTTCCAACAACAATCGAGGAAAGATTTCCTGGCAAAATGACTGCCTGCTTCTGAGTGAACTCTGAACCTTTGTCTAACGCTTTTTAATTTGTTTGCAAAAAGCTGATGTGAATCAGACTCAGAACTCCTAAACTGGTTCAAAGGTTACAGAGTACAGCAAATATTATCTGTACTGCGTACAGACAGGCGTAGGAAAAACATGGACACATATATGCACCACTAATATGGATGAACATATTTATATATTTATTGTAAGCATTCATTAGACTAGTAGTTTAACAATGTCACAGCCTAAAAAACATCTGTGACCCTGGACCACAAAACCAGTCATAATGGTCAAAATTGTGAAATTGAGATTTATACCTCATATGAAAGCTGAATAAATAAGCTTTCCATTGATGTATGGTTTGTTAGGATAGGACAATATTTGGCTGAGATACAACAAAAAATCTGGAATCTGAGGGTGCAAAAAAATCTAAATATTGAGAAAATCACCTTTAAAATAGTCCAAATGAAGTCCTTAGCAATGCATATTGCTAATCAAAAATTAAGTTGATATATTTACGGTAGGAAATTTACAAAATATCTTCATGGAACATGATCTTTACTTAATATCCTAATGATTTTTGGCATAAAAGAAAAATCGATAATTTTGACCAATACAATGTATTGTTGGCTATTGCTACAAATATACCTGTGCTGCTACTTAAGACTTTTTAAGCTAAGGTTTTGTGCTCCAGGATAACATATGATCCTTTACATATATATGAAATGTGATTAACATATTATGGTAGCATAGACAGTTTAAGTTATGCCATGTTATACAAAAAGCACATTTCACACTTTAAGAGCTACGGTGGCTATAATCTTTAATGTACAAATTAAATACATTTGATAAATTCTGTATAATACACTGTAACAAACGAGTATATCATGTCTATTAATATAAACCAATACAAAGAGATGTTCAAGTCATACTTTTGTACATGAGATCAGGACACTTCTAATGCAGCTGGGCAAATGTCACAAAACCTAGGCTAAAAGAGATGGAGGCTCTTCAGAGCTGTCGTCTGTTTTCTCATGGTACTTTCCCTCCAAAATTCTCTGGACTGCTGTGAGAACCTTGTGATTGAAGACCATGTCCAAATGGGCCATGCCTCTGAACTCTGTCACGTGCACGGCCTGTTCCTGTTTCCCTATCCAGCGCTTACAGAGACTCATGCTGCGGCTGCCGACAGTGTCGTCGCCATCATCGTAAATAATATCTATGGGGTCGGTGTTTGGAAACTGTTCGTCGTACACGTATGTGACGGGCGTAGGGAGGCCCACCCCATAGAGGCAGTAGACCTCGACGCCAGGTGCGGGCAGACCGGCCGTGAGGTTTCTGGTGTCCTCCCACATATACCAGCCGTCCTCAAAGTTGATGTCTTTGAAGAACTGTTGATAGTCTTGGTTGGTGTAGTTGAAAAAGGGGGTGGAGATGAAGGTGTGGTCTTTGGGCCAAGCCTCTTCAGAAGGGATCATCCACGGATTTGTGGTGGTCATTCGTTGCTCTTCGCGGATTTTTATATTGGACACAAAGGGTATGCCATCGTTTTCACCTAAAAAGGCATAAAATAAAGACTAAAACTCAGCTTAAATGTTTTATACATGTTAAGACAATAGCTCACCCAAAATTTAAATTATATTCAAATTAAAGTATTGTTTACAGTTAAAATAATCAGTATTTTATATTCTATGTCTGCATGCTTTTGTATGACTACTTTTAGTAGCTAGGATGCAGCAATGAAGCTTTCTATTTCTGAATAAATGCAGGTTTTTTTACTTTATATTCATCAGAGACTCCTGAAGAAAAAAAAATATATA